GGCAGATTGACTGGACTGAACCACACTGCTGAGGGGAGCAGCAGGCAAGACAGGAGAGGTCAGCCGCGCCATACAGGTCACCTCACTGGCCTGGGATAGAACTTGTGCTGCAGTGGCTGCGCTTTAAACCCGATGGGCCACCACGGAGGGCCCCTACTTTATCTATTCCACAGGCCTCGTACTAGTCATTTCAGTACTATTTGTCCTAACAGCTTTCAGATAGGGCAGACTGATTAAAGGAAGTTGATCCAAGTTTAAGAATTTCTTAAACATCAAAACTTTTAATGCTGTGATGTATTTCAGTAGATCTGCTGGTTCTGTTCCTTACTGTGTCTCTGGTGAATGTTCTTACCCACTCTCCTCCTATCTCTGGGTACACCCCAATTCTTCTACACATCAATCTTAAAAAATGACACAGGAGAGGTTGTGAAATCACATTTGTGAAACCACTACTAGCACTAAACAAGAAATAAAACAACTTATCAACCTGTATTACACATGGTAGTAAAGTGTTTTATGAAATTTGTGTGGTTGTAAAGACACATCCATGCTGCATGTATACATATGACATGTAACATAAAATGTATTTCTTATAGTTGAAAAAATTGAAAATCTTAATGATTTTCACGTTTAGTTTGCCTTATGTTAGTTTGTTACACCTCTTTTCTAGGTAATCAAAAATCAACTAACCAAAGAAAACTTATGTATTTTCCTTTTTTAGCATGTTCTGGGCAGCCAAGACTTCTGCTAATACTGAACCTTTACAACCTTGTGAGAACTAACTTGAATAAATGAAATGCTAAAAGGCATTAGTAACATATTGGCCATGATAATATGGAAGGCTTTGGTGGACATTAGGCCCAAATTTTCAGTAATCAGAAATTAGAAGAATGTCTTTTTAAGGTTTAATAAGAACAAATTAGGTTGGATTCTATGACTTAATAGTTTTCAGAACATATGCTTTAAAAGCAGTAAATTCTATTTTGCCTTATCTAATGCATTCAGATCCAAGAATCACCCATTATTTACCCAGCATAGCTTAATAAATGGTGACTGCTAAGAAGTCCTTTTGTTATCCATAGTTCAGTAAACATAGTAGGCTTTACTAGTTAGCTAAATAAATGGCAAATAGTGGCTATGAGCGGTTTGCTAATAATCTTAATGATAAAGTCACAAGTCCTTGTGACTTCAGTGATAGTATTAAAGATGTCGATTAACATGAACAGGACAAGCTCTGTAATTTATGCTTGTACAGCCAGCCAGGCCTGGCTGCTAAATGTACCTCTGTGCCAGACATTAGAAGAAAATTCTGGTCCTCTAAAGTTCACCACAAAGATGACAGGATTTTGTCCCCCATACTTGAGGCAGATTCTACCACTGTGCTACTTACTGCATGCTAAAAATGTTTAATAAGTGATTCTGCGAGGCAGACTAGGCCTGAGCTAACTATGTTTTTCTATCAGGCAGGTAGTGGGTATCTACAAAAAAAGAATCTGAGTGGTAAGTGACCAAATTGACTGTCAGTTTGAAAAATAACCAACTAAAGATGTCTGGCACTTTTGAGTTACTCTCAAATAATATCAGTCAATCATCAACACCTATTTATCAAAGCACATTTATTTCATTACTTATTCCAGACAAACAGTGAGATTCATGTGTACAACTAAGAAATAAGACAATCCAAATAAAAGACAGGAAAGAAAAATAACGACACAAACAGCTATCTAGAAAGGAATGGCAGTTGCACTCATTTTATATAATACTGTGGAGTGATGTAGCACCATTTACCTCAAAGAGAGCCTATATACTTCATAAGATAATGGGTTTTTGTGTAGTAGTAGCTTAAAATGATAGCTAGGAAGTTTGATAACCTTATGTTCAACTAATCTCAAATATATAATTAGAAAAATAATTTCAGAAAAAATAGGGAGTTTGTAAATAGGACCTTGCACAGTTAAAAAACAAATCCTAGAAAAATAGTTACCATCATTGAGACCAGTTTCCTTCCATTAATCTGCATTAGTTCTCACTATCATGATTCTAAGTTTTGGAAGACTTAATAGTTCATTGTTTAAACACACACATAATTTATTGTTTTTTAAACTAAAATTCTATTTACTAGTCTGTTCCGTCTGCTCTGACCTGAACTACAACTTGAAGGAACAAGACAGAATTGTAATGCTACTGAAATCAAAAGGTTAGGATCTTAAATGATTTGCTTTTCCCCCCCTTTCTAGTGATCATGCTAAAATATTCTAATCTGATCAATCTTAGGCTGAAGTTTGCTGAGCACAACTTTGACCCTGCTAATGAACCTAAGTAAACATGAGAACATTTATAAACCCAATAGTTAGCATTTTTTGAAATACTGATGCTTAATCTGAGATACATAAAGAAAATTGAAGATAAATTGGAGACCTGATTGATTGAGTCTTCCATCAGTCCATTAAGAGAGAGTACACTTTCAGAAATATAGAAAAAATTTTAGAGTTGAGGATTATTCAATCCTGGACAGCTGTGGTTCCTAACCCCATTTTTAAAGGAGAGGTGATAAGGAGTTGGGTTGTGGAATAAGCAACTTTGAGAAGCTTGAAAATCTCCTTTCCCAATCCAAAAATAAAAAAAAATAAAAATAATGGATATAAACAAAAACTCCTGATGATACATTCACAAAGGATTGCCTTAGGCTTCATGATTTCCAAGTTAGAACTCCTATTTCAAATCTGTGGAGTACAGTGGAAAATGAGTTTACCATTTCAACACTGTCCATCTTTTATTTAATTGCTTAAGTATTTTAATGTCACTAAATTGTTGCCTAAAGAAACAGTTATTTTTGTTGTATAGTCTTTTAAAATACATTTCCCCTCAGTTTTACAAGGTTTTAAGCCATGTCCCTATCTTTCAAATAATGACTAAGTTCCTATGTTTAAACAGATTATTTTCTTTTGTCACATACAATTTTTCAGAAGTCAGTCCCTGGAAAATAAGCATATTAAAATTTAACATCCTTGTGAAAATGAACATGTTTACATATTGAAGTTTATCTGACTATTGAAGGTAATCTATCCTAATGTTCAGGAAAGAAAAAGGCTGTCATTTGTGACCAAACCCACCATCTCAAAAGCATTTCACAATTCTCCATCCGGCTACCAAATAGGTTGAGTGCTGTCTTTGACATGTCTCATGTTGAGCCATTGACCATGTGTTAACACCATGTTCAATAGGCCCTTAGAACAAGAGAAACAACTACACAATGACACAATGACAGGCTTATTGCTTTCTTATTAAAAGAAAACTCCATTAGTCACTCTAAGAATCTGTTTATATAATATGGTAAAACATGGATGTATAAGGATCCCTGGAAGAAACTTTGAGGACTAAAAAACAGGGATAATAGGCATTAAACACAGAACTCCAAACACAATGCACATATAAAATTTAATCAAATTCCTTAATATGTTTTTAAAGTTTGAAGTCAAGCTATAGTTACTCAGTCTTCATAATAACTCACCTTTGCTCATGTAGAGTATCTGTAGAACATATCTCAAAAGTTTGAATAAAGGAATAGTGTCAGTTAAAGAGAAAGCTTTCCAAGGAACCTACAACTTGGTTGTGACATCATTCTGTCTTTTGCTATGTGAAAAATGAATGGAATATTATTTTTTTCCTTGTTCCTCTTTACTTCTAAGAAGCTCTACTTTATGAAATTTAAACACTTAGAATTCCCACTTTGGGAGATCCCAGGATCAGAAAACAAGAGTGGGAGAAGAAAGATACTGCTCTCTGACCATCAGAATTCAACTAACTCAGTGGTAAAAGGTTTGCAAGAAAAAATGGACTACTATTACTCTGTGGGCTAAATGGTATCCCATGAATCCTATGAAATACACAACACCAAGTATGTCTCAGTACTATTTAAATGTACCATTTTGTGTTTTCCCACACCACTAATTGCTGAGTGAAAGCTGAAAAAGGTTTAGTATATATACACCAGTAACCCTGCTGTGCAATCTATACATTTTAATAATAATTCAAGCATAACCCATATTAAAAAAATTGGACTAAAGAGAGACAGTAAAGTTTTTAAAGTTTTCTCTTTGAAAAGATGGTATCTTACATTACATACAAAAATACTCTGAAAATACATACGACTTCATTTACAAAACACTGAATCAACATATTACAATAAGAATTACATGGTCATGGATTTTGGTAAACTGAGCATGCGTTCATGAAACTTAAAAAATATTAAGAAATGCACTGAAAAAAGCAGTGTAAAAAATGACAACTCATATAGTTAAATAAAAATTACAAAGGTCCTGAGCCAATTCATGGTTGGTAACAATGTCATTCAAAAATGCCTGTAGGTTTCAGTAAAATCCACTGCTTACTTCTGCATGCCTAGTTCATGAAGAAACTGTTTGAAGTTGTGGGGCAAGTTACGGTCAGGAATTATCATGCCAAGTTAATTTTACACCTCAAAAATACAAGTTTGCCATACTTTATGGTATGTTTTTATTGACACTGGAATGAACTGCTCCTCAGTAAAAAATACCAGTCAACTAACAAGAATGGCATGAGATAGGTTAGGTAATAATTTCACCATTCATATACTGACTTTCAGTATCCTGGTTATATTTTGATTCTTAATAAAGATGCATTTCGAAGGCCTCCATGGGAGGCAAAATACAGAGAATTTATGGTGCCCAACTCTTATGTAATCACTGGACTAAACCTCCCTGGTAGCTATGCAACATCTGGACAGAAAGGCACAAAAAAAAAAAAAAAAAAATTTAAATATTCTATGTGCCAATCTGGAAAAAAAATAATTTAAATCAACAGAAAAGATATTAAGTACATCTACACAAATGAGAAAAACAGAAAAGATACCTCACATTCATCTCAGGTTTCACAAAGTGGCTTCAACGCTAAAGTAAATGTGTTAACAGGTGGAAAATTACAAGACTTTTTTTTGTTGTTGTTTTCAACTTTTTCAGTTTTATACAATGATTACAACATAAGACTTATAAAAAATAAAGAAAAAAAAAGTTCAGGACTTCTTTAAATCAGTGTCCAAGTAGCCAAGAACTAGTTCCCATAAGAGAAACAAGCATCGAAAGTTAAGGCAATAAAACCTCCAACGCAAAGCCATAATATTGTACATGACAATTTGATAGAGGTGATCCTCAGAGAACTGTATGTAGCAACCAATCAGAGAACGCTACAGCATCTGCAGGTCAAAGTGTGAGAGTTCAAAAACCACTTCAAGTTGTTAGGCTGATGACTGTAACTTTCACCTTATTTTATGTATGACAACCACTTATATTAAAAAAAAAAAAGTGGTTGCATCTATGTCACTAAAGGATTGCATATTCACTTGAGTGAGGCAGCACTGCTTTTACCGATTAAGGGTCAGTCGAATGGAATTTTTGATGACACGGATCTTATTTGCTGGAACTGGAGATGATGAATCTGGTAGTTCTTTACTGGGTAGTCTCTATTAGAAAGAAACAGAGAAGCAAAAACCACTACATATTATAGAATAGGTCCAAATAGATATCAGTCACAAACTAAGTTTTTCCAAATCCTTTAAGTTTCTAAACACTCACACTGACTAATGAATATTTTCAACATGGCAAGCTTTTCTTTAACAGAGGTGAAAAGTAGAGGGACAGCTTTGGGGAAAAAGCAGTAGAAATTGGAGTAGTATGTACAGGAAAGAGGCCTTTGTTAAATCAGTTGCCACTCTGGACTAAGAAATGCATAAAGATTTATATAGTCCTCAAAGTCAGCCAATGATAAAGAGAAATAAGCACACAGGTCATTAAACAGAAAACTTTGGGGTATAAGGTCAGAGATATATGTGTGTTATAGAAGAAAACATGATATACAGATAGTTATACAATGGGAAATCATGTTTCTTGTCAAGAGATGATAGCAAAAGTTAAATCTCTAGTACACTGGCTAAATAAATATGTGTATCATACCATCAATTTAAAGATCATGGAAAACTGAGACACACATAAAAGTGGAAAACAGAGATGAATATTTAAATGCCACAACCCAAGATTCAGACATTACAATTTTGCCATGTTTGGCTTATGTCTTTTATGCACAACTCAGACATTTCATTTCACTCTTTGATACTTTAATATACATCTCAAATTAATTTTATTCTAACATCACATGTAATCATAATACCCATATACTTTGTAATTCACTATTACATTAAAAGAGAAATTTCATAAATTTTACAACTAATAATAGAAAATTTGAAGGTACATTCTATTCTGCTTTAGAATGAGCAATACAGCCTAGGGAAACGGGCATGTGGACAGTTAGTTGTGATGAGAAGCTCTTTGTTCTTTAATGAGGGTTTTGTAAAAATAGGCTGTTACTAGAAACTCTCAAAGAAGGGCTTTTTCTCATTTACACAAGTCTGATGGTTCAGCAACTGCTTATTAGCTTATCATGCTTAGTAATATTATATTATTTGTTTCAATGGCAAGTCTTTGAAAAAAAATTTTTAATCGAGGTTTAGGAACTCTATGCTCAAGTTTTAAAAATACTTTCTACCTACACCACTACATTTTGGCTTATCCAAAATACTAGTTAAGTGTGGCTCCAAACCTAGATATTGACAGTAAGCAGTTGTACCCAATTCTGACCAGTATTATTAAAGTTTAGTCAGAAACTACTGTGCTGGGCACAAAATTGTTTCTACAACAATTAAAAACTTAGAGGTTGAACATAAACTCACTAAATTGTGAAATTTTAAATTACTTCCTTTTCTAGGTTTTTGCAGTACATATATTTAGAACCATACAGTTTGTTCGCTTCTTCCATCCCCAACCCCCAATTTTACTTCTGATCTTTAAGGAAAAGGGCAAAATCTTACTCTTTTACTTCATCAAATGCTACACTTTCAAATAAGCTTCTTGTAGGGGTAAATTATCTATGAATTTTGATTTATGTGTTTTATCTATGAAAAAGACTGTTACCTTTTTACGTGATGTATCAATAGTTGGAATTGGCATACATTCTCCTCCTATGGCATCCTAAAATCAGAAGAAATATGGACGTGAAAACTTTCTTTCTGATATGCAAATATTTATTTCTATATGAATTAACACAGAACCAAAGCATGATCCGCTTTGGGATATAGATTACAGCTCCTTAAAAGTAAGTATTTTAGGCCCTCCCTGGTGGCGCAGCGGGTTAAAGCACAGCACAGCACTAAGAAGCTTAAGCCACCTCTGCATGAGTTCGATCCCCGCCTGCCCCGGAGGAGATCCACATGGCGGCAGACCTCTCCTGACCCGCCCGCTGCTCCCCTCAGCAGTGTACTTTGTCCATCTGCCTGTTCTGCTCCCTGCTCTGTCTCTGGTGAAGCCTCTCACCCTCTGCATCTCTGCCTGTACCCCAGTTCTGTACAAATAAATAAATAAATAAATCTTTAAAAAAAAAAAAAAAAGTAAGTATTTTAAACCACCCTATTACTATGCTCACCATTGATTTCCTTTTTCTATCTTCGGTAGCACGCGAGTCCTTAAATGTTGATTCGAGCTGAATAAACTAAAATGTAAACATTACAGTGAGTTGCTATATGTACCTACAAAACCATACAGATCCATATAAACTAAGAAAACTACTCACTAGGCTATTATCAAAAGCTACCAAAACACAGCTGGTGAGGGAATAGAATTCCACTGCTACCCTTAAATTCTACAGTTTGACTGATCTTTTTGGTTAAATCAATTTAGATTATAACAAACTGTTTTACCACCACCTACTGGAGGTAGAGGAAATCAAATTATAGTACAAAAAATATAACTATTTAGTTACACCAGTAATGACTTGTGTGTACTTTTAAGTTTGACTTAACTTTTTCAGACACATTAATAATTTGAATTTAGGATGAACAATTAATACTATTGTTTTAGGGTTTGGGTAGATAATCTTATTAAATAGTTAAAACTCAACAGAATGAGAGTGGTTTCTTTAGTACTATTTTAATTTAAAATAATCAGTTACTGAATTACCATTAAGTCATAACTTTACCTTTTCTATGTCTTTCAACCTCTTAGATGATCCATCTAAGGATGGGGAGTGGGATCTCTTTGGTGTAACATTCTTAGTTATATTTGACATTCCATTTAGATGTGGCTGTCCCTGGGCAGGATTGTGGGATGTTGTGATTCTAGGAATGACATTGCGTCCTACTACCGTAGGAATTGTGCACACAGCTGGAGATGATACAGTTTTTACTACAGAGTCAACTTCTGAAATGAAGGAAAAAAGTTATTTCTATTTTTAAATTTTATTAGCCTCCACCAAACCACCCAGGTCCTATCCCATTGTAAATATAATTATGTATATTTGTAGTAGAATCATTACCAACAAAAATTTAGATACCTACTTGCACCAATGACTGGAATAGATAGTCCTTGAGCTGGTGGGACACCCAGTGGCTTTTCCACAATTACAACAGCAGACTCAGGACTACTCCTATTAAAAAAAGTTATCACTAAGTGATTTAAATACTAATTTAAAAACACTTAAAACATTTAGAATATGTCTTTTGAGTACCTATTTTAACATTTCATGGAAGAAAAAGGAGGGAAATAGCAAGACCAAAGTATGGATTTACAAGAGAAAAAAAAACTAAACAGAATACCTGTGCATTTCTGTATTTAATCTCACATATTCATAATCATATACTGTCCCACAGGACAAGAGTAAAATATAAAGTATTTCTAAACAAGAAGCTGATTAGCAACTGATAAAACCTTGTAACAATTAAAAAAGGGAATTTTGCAAAGGTACACAAAAGTTTACATTACCTTCAAATAATGTAAGATTGAAAGGAAAATCTTGAAATACAGACCTTTCGGCTTCTCCTGCAGAAGGACTATCAGGCTTGGAAGGTTTGTTTGTAGACACTGGAGAATTAAAAGGTGTCCCGTTATCAGTATCTCTGGAGCTATCCAAACAATTGGTATCCAGAGATGGTCTTTTGGATTGAAGTCCACTGGAACTCCGACTGACATCAGAAAGACTTTGCTGAAAGAGAGAGAAAACTCTGAAATCTCAGGATTTCAAAACAAAGAAATGATGATTTCAATTCTGAAGAACATATAAAACAATTCTTTTGTGATTAATGAAGGTGGTGTTTTAGTCTTAAGATTGAATTAGCTGTATAACTTTCCTCTTTCCACTCAACAGCTTTGAAGCTGTGAGAATGCAAATTTAGTCCCAGGATCATATAAAACTACAATGGACAGTTAACTTTACAAACTTACCTTCTTCTTCTTTTGAAGAATTTCTGCTGGAAGATAGTGATGAAGCTGTTTTTTTTTAACATGAGTTGCTTCAATTTTCATTCCCTCCTTTAGCATGTTTATATTGTTTGCTTGTCTGTACACTGTAACAATGTCAATATGTTAAGTGGGAAACTTCTATCTCAACCAACTTCTCTTCTACTTTTTGAGGATTTTTTTAATGCATAAAAAAACTGGGGTATTGGCCAGAGATGACAGTGCTGAATGGATTCACCAGAGACAGAGTGGGGAGCACAACAGGCAGATGTACTGAAATGCACTGCTGAGGGGAGCAATGGGCAAGACAGGAGAGGTCTGCTGAGTCATGTGGGTCAGCTCCCTGGCTATCTGGGGATTGAACTCACGCTGCAGTAGGTGTGGATAGCTTCACAGTGCTGTGCTTTTAACCTGCTGCACCACCAGGGAGGGCCAAGATAAATGTATTTTAAAAAGGATTCTCCTCTCCCCCCTCCACATTTTGTTTGTCCAAAAGGTATCTCTTCTCAGTCTCTTCTTTATAACAACAACCAAGATGCAACTCAAGCATTTCTCTTTCATGTAGCTTTTTAAAAATTCAGAATTCAAAGAACATCAGGGCCCTCCCTGGTGGCTCAATGGGTTAAAGCGCAGCACTATAAATCTGTTGTAGCCACTGCAGCACAAGTTAGATCCCCAGCCAGGGAGGTGACCCACAGTGTGGCAGACCTCTCCTGGCTAGCCAGCCCACTATTCCGATCAGCAATGTATTTCACTACATCGGCCTGTTGTGCTTCCCACTCTGTCTCTGGTGAATCCTCTCCTTTCTTGTACCTCTGGCCTGTACCCCAGTTCTGTATGCACAAATAAATCTTTACTAAAAAAATAAAAGAATTCAAAGAACATCAGACATTGGAAACCACCTAGAAGTACATTTTTATTTTTCAGGTAGGGAAATGAGGCTTAATGACCCTAAAAACCTTGCTAGATCAAAACTCTGGATTCCCATTCTAGGATTCTTCACATCTTATAAGAAAATCAGTTTTTTAAACTACCACGTAAATTACTTAATGTATGTTTTCTGTGATTAAGTAGATTACAGCCCTCCCTGGTGGTGCAACTGATTAAAGCACAGCACTATGAAGCTATCCACAGCCACTGTAGAACGAATCTGACCCCTGGTAGGGTAGGTGATCCACGCGGTGTGGCAGACTTCTCCTGACCCGCCTGCTCTTCCATTCAGTCTTTTGTTTGTTTGCTATTTCTTCAGTAAATCTGCCTGTTCTGCTCCCCACTCTGTCACTGGTGAATCCTCTTATCCCTCCTGCACCCCTGGCCTGTTATCCAGTTCTTATATGTATAAATAAATAAATCTTTGGGGAAAAAAATTACATTATAAATTTTCTGAAGACAGGGATGAGGATGAGAAGCTTCATTTGCACATTACTATAAAATGTGGTAAATTATTTAATCTCCTAGAGTCTTGTTTTCATAAGCATGATGGGTAAGTACATGAATCTGTATTTTCATGATGTGAGGGCCAGTTTAAAAGAATTTATAAAAGCTCACACTAGCAAAACCAAGAATAGTAATAATATGACTGTCCACTACTCCACATTAAGACTACTCCAAATATGTTAAGATAGTCCAAAGCAGTGTTACTAGGGAGCTATATGCAAAAGGCATCCTCTTCACTACTTCTGAAACACAGTCAGCAACCCACACTGGTGATCTTTCCTTCTTTTTTTTAAAGACTTAGTTTTTATTTATGCATACATGAACTTGGATGTAGCCAGAGGTACGGACTGAGTCACAGTGCTGAGAATTAAATGCTTGCGCCACCAGAAAGTTCACCTTATAATTTACTTTGTTTTAAAATAGGTAATATGTTTACATGGCAGAACACTCAGAGAGATCAGAAATATATAGAAGACTCCACACCCATCTTCTAGACATATCTGGTTCCTTGATCTAGAAATAACTTTTTACCAGTTTCTATTTTTAAAATCATGTATTCTTCTAAACCAATCTATGTACTTATAAGCAGACATGCATGCATTATTTTTTACTTATATAAATGACAGCACAAAGCACACATTCTTTGGCAATTTTCACCTGCCCCCTCTACCCTGACTTAGTATGTATTGGAAATTGTTTCATCATGTCTTTAATTCTAAAAATACCAACACAGATTTCCATAATATAGATGTACATATTCATCTAACCAATTGTGGAACTTTAAAATATGCAGCCATAGGCAGGTTGCGAACCATACCTTCACGATAACAAAGTCTTACCTGTATCAGTAAATGACTGTATATCATATGTCAGGTCTATGTTAACACTTTCTGCATTTTCTACTCTCCGAAAAATTATCCCGAGGAACCACATTGATACATAATTGTTGCTATAAAGTAAAATTTAAGAATTTCCATTAATTTGTTATAATTTTACAGATGTTATTTGGTCATTAGTAATATAAATTAGGTCTCTATTGAACCTTAAATATAAATTTCAATATATATTGAAAATGGCCAAATTCTCAAAACTGATATCCAGGACACAGGTGAGATAACCTGTGTTGCTATAAAGATGATGAAATGAGCTGAAATGACTTACTATAAATATAGACTTTAAAAATCTCCAAATATTGTGTGAAGAGCTTTGGGTAGGGTGCTGTGGACTACCAACATAGCATGTACTTAAGTTTTAATGACAACCACTTACACTCAAAATGTATCTTCTCTCCATCAAAGCCTATTAAACAATAACCTCACAACTGACCTTAAACAATACATATGGCAAATAATATTATTTAAGAACTGTACTATTAAAAACAGTTAACTTACTCTTTATGATGTTCCTTATTTCCTGGAAATGATTGGGGATTTACATGAGCAAGAGTAATAAATTCATTCCGTTCCAAGTTTCCAACAAGCACACGTATTTTTGATTCTACTAATCCAACCCTACAAGACAACAGACAAGAATTTTCCACATTAAACTTGGAACTACATCCAAATAAGCCAAATAGCTTATTAGATATTATGCCTTATTTTTAATTTTTTATTAATTTTTAAAAAATTCAACATGTTATACACTCTATTTAAAATTCTGTTTAAATGATTGAAATCAATGCTAATTCCATTAAAAAAAAAACATAAACCATAAAAGTAAATGACAAGTAACTAAGGAGTTTGTGTTTTCCCTTAAGAGGAACTGTTTTTGGAACTCCCTAGTGGCCTAGGGGTTTTTTTTAAAATAATATAATTGTTTATTTTTACATTTTGTACATTTTTTTTTCATCTCAATTGTAATCCCCGTGGATTTCCCATCACCAAGTCACCCATGTGCCATCACCATAGTCCAGTGCACTTCCCTCCCCCCACCATTTTGAATTCCCCATCCCACCCCCATAAAATGTCTCTGGTATATGGCTGTTCATTATTCTTATTATTTTCTCGCCTGGTCCATTATACTCCTGCTATGAGCGAAACCATCCGGTATTTTTCTTTATCTTTCTGGCTTATCTCACTGAGCATGATTTTTTCCAGCTCCATCCAAGTTGCTGCAAAACACATGTGTTTCTTTTTTTTGGTTGCTGAGTGAATATCCATTGTGTATATGTACCATATCTTTTTTAATCCAGTCACCTACTTTTGGGCATTTGGGTTGCTTCCATGTATTTCCAATTGTAAATAAAGCAGCAATAAACATAGGGGTGCAGGTATCTTTTTGAATCAGTGTTTTTGTGTCTTTTGGGTAGATACCTAGGAGTGGCATTGCTGGGTAGTAGGGAAGCTCCATGTTAAGCAGTTTGAGGAACCTTCACACAGTTTTCCATAGTGGTTGTACTAGTTTGCATTCTGGTGGCCGGTTTTAAGTTTCAACACTAACACCACTATGCCCTGAGTTCAATCCCTGCCAGGAAGCCAAGCCACATATGGCAAAGCAGACCCCTCCTGTCTCACCCGCTGCTCCCCTTGGCAGTGTATTTCTGTAAATCTGCCCGCTCTGCTCTTCTATCTCTGGTGAATCCTCTCACTTCTCACCCCCAACCTGCAGCTCAGGCCTACACCCCAGTTATTCTATGTGTTTCATTAAAAAAAAAAAAAAAAAAGCACTTTCAGTTTAAAATACCAAGTGGTAGTTAATAAGCTATTTCAGGGCCTCCCTGATGGCAAAGTGCTATCAAGCTATAACCAGCCACTGTGGCATGACTTCAACGTATGGCAAGGGAGCTGACCAATATGGCACATCAGACCTCTTCTGGCTCACCCACTGCTCCCCTCAGCAGTCTATTTCAGTAGATTTGCCTGTTTTGCTCCCCACTGTCTCTGGTAAACCCTCTCATCTTCAGTACCTCTGGCCTACACCCCAGTTCTTCTATGCAAAAATAAGTAATACCTTAAAAAAAATGGAAGCAGTCACTGATAACATATACAAGGGGGGCAGTGTTCCAATAAAACTTTATTTTTAAAGATGAATGGAAAGACTAGATTTGGCTCCAGCAATAGTTTCCTGATCCTTAATCTAGAAATGAGTAGTACTCCATTTAGTGAAAGAATTCTTTCCAGGGTATCTTTAATAATCAATTATTATAGGTGTTAAAACTTTTGAAGTGAAAAATGAATGCATTTTATTTTATGCATATAGAACTGGGGTAGAGGCCAGAGGTACAGGAGTGGTGGATTCACCAGAGACAGTGTGGGGAACAGAACAGGCAGACTGACAAAAGTACACTGCTGAGAGGAGCAGCAGGCAGATCAGGAGAGGTCTGCCACGCCATGTGGGTCACCTCCCTGGTCAGGGATTGAACTCGTGCTGAAGTGGCTGCGGCTAGCTTCATAGTGCTGTGCCTTAACCCAATGTGCCACCAGGGAGGACCCTGAAATCTTAATTTGATGCTATTTCTTAAACATATCACATGCAACAGCCACTAATTTGACTTAATTTTGAAAACTAAGGGTTTTTCATAAATGGCAAGGTACCATGTAAATATGTTACTATCACAAAGTAAAGAACTTAAAATTTAAGTCTTACCACTCTAGATGGTTTTCTTCTGTTGATGCACTGGCAGTCAATACTATATAATGTCTATAAAGAATTTTCAGCAACAGTCAGGGGGGAAAAGCCAGAAACATTGTTAGGTCCCATCTTTCCATCATTATTTTTTCTCCCTTTTTCCCAATAAATAACAACAAAAAACTGATGTAGACACATAGTTCATGAAAATTAAAATGTTATCCTGTTTTCACAAAATAAATTGTAGATGTTCCAATCAATAGTTTACCAAAATCAAAAAACCTAGTATTGGGTCAATTACTACTACAATATAGAAACTTATCAATTAGGGTTTCTGCTAATCGATGCTCTATTTCATTTGAAATACAGATACAGGGACAACTTTCACCCATCATGCATTATTAAATATACACACAAAATAAAGGAAATTTCAAATACCTATACTTCTGAAAAAAATTTGGTGGTTCAAGCAGTTTGGACCAATCTGATTTCCCCTGAAGAATTTCATCTGTGACTGCAAGGCCTAAATTAAAAGAGAGATTAATTTTGAATAGTGACCTTACATTATCAACTTTCTTATCACGCTACTCCCAAAACTTCTCACCCCATCAAGTTCTTGAATTAAAAAAAGGTGTGAATGTTTTATGTTCTTTTTTCAGAACACAAAAATCAATTTCTACTAGTTTGGACTGGCTCAATTTTGGCTTTCAATATCATGTATTTTGGAAAACCAAGCATTTGAAGAATTTTTAGAACTAATAGATATAAACTTTATATAAACTTGCCAAATCCATCACAGCATAAAGAATAAAACTGTCAACCAAGATCTTGGCGAAATATGTAAGGGGCAATAGGGCCAACAGGTTTACCTTGTTTAAATTCTTCTACCATTACTGTTCGAGTTGATGTGGACACATTATACGTAGAATTCTGTTGTGGGTAGGCAGGGGTGATTATGGGCATGAGATGATACCTATCTGATGGATTTACCTGTGAAATTAGAAGCAGAATAATTGATCTATTCTCCTATTTCAGTTGTCCTCACTTCATTTCCCCAAAAGTCTGAAGAATATGAAATATAAATTTAATACTACATTTCCTCAATTTTAGGAGCAAATTTCCCCTCCCCAACTACATTTAAATGTTCTTAAGTCAGATGACTCTGACAAAAATCAAAGGAAATTCTGTGGTTTATTTTTTCCCTAAGAAGCTAGTAAATTGATGGCATGCATATAAAAATGGTCATTCAGAACCAAGGAAATATGGTAGTATAGCAGCCAAGGGATTACTGGGCCCAATAGTTCTCAGTCCTCTTTCTACATTCAATCAATAGAGGACTTCCCCTGGGTTACTCGGAGACTGAGCACTCACTCTAAAAGCAAATTAAAATGCAAGGTGAATACAAGTTACCCTATTTGGAACCATGAATCTGCTTTAAATTCTGCTGCGAAATAAATCTTAACATTATAAGTAACTACTTGTAAGACAGTTGTTAGTGGGTTATGCCATTTCTGTTGATATACCCAGTCAGTCTTAATATGAATGAGTTTTTTTTTATCAATTTTTAAAATTTTAATATGATAGTTTGTTTTTACATCATTTTGTGCCTTTTCCCATCTCAGTTGTAATCTCCATGGGCTTCCCATCACCAAATCATCCGTGTGCCATCACCATAGTCTAGTGCACTGCCCTCTCCCACCAATTCCCTATAAAATGTCTCTGGCATATAGTTCATTATTTTCTCCCCTGGTCCTTTATGCTCCTGCTATGAGTGAAACCATTTGGTATTTTTTCTTTTTCTTTCTGGCTTATTTCACTATGCATGATCCCTTCCAGCTCCATCCAGTTACATGATTTTTAATGATGTAACATTTGGATCAGACTTGGTGATACACATCATCTGAACCAAAAAAACAAAGCAGGAAGAAGAAAAGCACTGTAGTTATACAAAAGGAAGTTGATCAGGGATAGGTAGATTTTTATGTAGATTGTAATTCAGAGGAACCACCTTTTCTTAAAAGGTTTAATGACATTCCTTAGTAAGTCACATACCCGAGGATCCCAAACTGGCAAATTCAAATTGCTTTCTTCTGGTTGTTTCAGCAGCACAGGATTTGGCCATTCCCTAACATGAAGAAGGTAAATTAACTCACATAGGACCTTACTTCATAAGCACTATAAGAAATGTTATAGACTTTGGATAAAAAGAAAAAAAAAGTAACACTGGTTATTTTAAAGCAGTGTCCTTTGAAAGGGCAAATATTATCTTCCTATTAACCGTAATAAATTTATGATTGAGTTTTTCCCTTCTTATCTGTGTTTATGGATTTAATATTGATTTATTAATACCACTAGCTAACATTTACTGAGAATACTTCTAATAAATCCATGCAAAGCAAGGATTATTTTCTCCATTTTATATATGAAGAAATAGTAAACAACCTCTACATGGCCAATAAAGGGAAGGGCCAAATTTATTATGGTCACTCTCTCAAACTAAAGGCCCACCTATTCAGAAAAACTGCTGTACTTTTTGACCCATCACTGCCACAAATGTGTTGTTTATAACTTTTTAATTAAAAAAGAATGTAAAAAAAAAAAATAGAAAGTCTATATATAGCTCTTAATTTGCAACAAGTTTACATATAGTGAGAGGTTAATGTAAGTATGTATATAAATACTTACCACTTGGAAAAAACTAAAAAGAATTTATGAACTAAAGTAGAAGCTGCTGCATTTGGATACAACTGGCAAGTTCTTGCAACTAGCATTGCCCAAGAAACACCACCAAGGAATCCCAGCATGTTGGAATAAATACCACGTCCTAGGAAATTAATAATAACTTTATTAATTATCCTTAGGACTTACTATCCATTACATTCAACCATAAAGAGCAGGATAACCTCCCTTCTAATGCTGTGGTTAAAACTCTCTCCTTACAGGAATAACATTAAAATAAACAAGCAAACATTCATGGAAGGTCCACTGTCTTATTAGTGAACCATAAGCTGCTCATTATTACCCTCCTGCTTGAACCTTCCAGTACAGACACCTCAGTTTCCTGCCTCAGGTCTGACTGCCCAACTGGGCCCTACAGATAGACAACATTGAAATTTCTCTCCTTCTAGTATTTTAAAATTGAAGTGTAAAGTTGAAGACTAACCAATATTCTGCCAGAATTTACCCACTTCTCCAGAAAGTACCATATACTGTTAGTATCACTACTCACTTTTTTTTACAGCAATGTATAAAATAGCATAACATATTTTATCAAATCTAAGATGCCCCTCAATTATATAATACGGCATTATTTATTATTTTTTTAAAGATTTATTTGTGCATACAGAACGGGGTACAGGCCAGAGGTTCAGGGGCGGTGAGAGGTTTCACCAGACACAAAGTGGGAAACAGAACAGGCAGATCGAGGAAGTACACTGCAGAGGGGAGCAGCGGGCGGGTCAGGAGAGGTCTGCCACGCCATGTGGTCACCTCCGGGGCAGGCGGGAATCGAACTCATGAGGAAGCGGCTTTAGATTCTCAGTGCTGTGCTTTAACCCGCTGCGCCACCAGGGAGGGCCCTATACGGCATTATTTTACATCCATTTAAGAGAATAAAAGAAAATCTCCATTTTGGCTATACTGAATATGAAAAATACGCATCTAAGAAATGACGAAACATGGTATTTAATTTAATATGTAAGGCAAAACAAATTGTTCATGTTGTCCTTTCATTGCAAATTACCTTCTCTTGGGCTTCCCTGGTGGCGCTTGGGGTTAAGTCTTAGCACTACAAAGCTCTCCGTAGCAGGTTTGATCCCCGGCCAAGGTGACCCACATAGCACAACAGACCTCTCCTCTCTCACTCACCCACTGCTGTTTTCAGCAGTGTATTTCAGTGAACTGGTCTGTTCTGCTCCCCATCCTGTCTCTGGTGAATTCTCTCACCTGCCATTTACCCCACACCTCTGGCCTACACCCTAGCTCTTGTATGCATAAATAAATTTTTTTTTAAAATTACTTTCTCCTGACCATACAAAACACTTGAGAGAGAATAAGGACCAATTTTACTGGCTTAAAGTCTTTTTAGATGTCCAATATGGTGGCACAAGTCATATGTGGCTAACTTTCTGTAATAATTTTATAATCATTCACATACATAAGATTCACCCATTTAAAATATAAAAATCAATGGTTCTTAGTACATCTGACTGCTATGACTTCTGCATTCAGATGTATTTTATCATGATATCAGTATTTTATTCCCTTCTATTGCCAAGTAATATTCTATAGTACAGTATACCACATTTTGTTTATCCATTCAACAGTTTGTGGACATGTGATTGTTTCCATTTTTGAACTATTATGAAAAATGCTGCTATGCATGTATGTTTAAGTGGATATATTTTCAACCCCTTTTAGGTACCATTTAATTTTAAATTTAAGTTCACTAAAACTAGTAACACTGGAACATTTAGTTTCTCAGGGGCACATTTCAGGAGCTAAACAGTCACCTTGTTACTATATTAGACAACAGATATGAAACATTTCCATAGAGTTTAGTGGCCAGCACTGTTTTAGACTATGTAAAACCTGTGCCAGAAGTTCAGCACTACTTACATGTAGCTACAAATAACACAAAATGTGCTGTGCCAGAGCAGGACTGGGACTTTTATGAGCCATATACTATATATACTAATATAGCTCTAGGACTCATTAGAAGAGTGTTGTAAGGTAAAAACCAAGTTAAAAATATTAGGTTGTCAGGAAAGCCGCTTGTATTTTTTCTATTTTTTTTTTAAAGATTTATTTATTTGTACATGCAGAACTGGGGTACAGGCCAGAGGCTCAGGAGCGGCGAGAGGCTTCACCAGAGAGAGTGGGGAGCAGAACAGGCAGATCGACGAAGTACACTGCTGAGGGGAGCAGCGGGCGGGTCAGGAGAGGTCTGCCATGCCATGTGGTCACCTCCGGGGCAGGCGGGAATCGAACGCATGTGGAAGTGGCTTTAGCTTCTTAGTGCTGTGCTTTAACCTGCTGCGCCACCAGGGAGGGTATTTTTTCTATTTTTAAAAAGATTTATTTATTCATACAGAACTGGGGTACAGGCCAGAGGCACAGCAGTGGTGAGAGGAGTCACCAGAGACAGAGTGGGGCGCAGAACAGACAGATCCATGAAGTACACTGCTGAGGGGAGCAGCAGGCGAGGCAGGAGGTATCTGCCATACCATGTGGATCACCTCCAGGGTGGGGATCGAACTCGCACTGAAGCACTGTGGTTTGCTTGCAGTGCTGAGCTTTATCCTGCTGTGCCAACAGGTAGGGCCCTTTTCTGTTTTCCAAGCAAAAATGGGTCATGACTTTTCTGACAACCCAGTATCACCACAGGCTCTTCATTTAACACATTCAATGAACACCTATTAGTAACTGGACTTTTTCCTGATGATAGGGAGACAGATATGAGTTAACACAGTCTTGCCCATTGTGAGGCTTGAAGGCCAGTTTCATTCTAAGTTCTAACTTATTCTAACTGCCTGGCTAAAATTGAAGATGGGAAGTCAGAGTTTTCAATTTTCACTTAGGAGAGGAGGAGACTGAGAGCACACCTAAAAGAAACAGCTTCTCCAAAACCTCAAATTCCCAACAGCATCAATATGCTTATAAATTCTCTCTCTCTCTCTCTCTCTCTCTCTCACACACACACACACACACACACACTTCTATCACTAGCAACTACAAATTGTAATTTCATAATGTGAACATAAAAGACTTAGGATACTTACGTTTTGCCCATAACTTGACTGCTCTTAGGGTGAGTCTAAAAGTTTCTTTATTTGGCACTAAATGCAAAATTTCATCAGTAACTCTACATCCTACAAAAAAAAAATAATAATAAAGCTTTCTTTTTTAAAATTATGCAACAAAAGCCAGTTAATTCCAATACTAACTTCCAGTCTTAAATGCTAAAAATATAAGGTAATAAAATACAATGGTTTATTTTCTCTATGTATATGAAATTTAGCATGTAAATACGAGAAATCACTTTGCTTTTAAAGAACTGGAAAGCATACAGGCAATGCAATCAGTATTAAAATAAGAGATGGGTCTGAAACTCTTTTTAGCTTTCTCCTATATTTTACTTAATCAAAAGCCTTCAAGTTATAAAAATGTCATTGCTTTAATGCAAACCTTATCCACAAATGTGCTTTACTCCTGTACCACGAAAGTACAGTAAGATGCCAATAATTCTGTTAAACAAGAAAGTATAAACTAGTGGTTCTCAAAGTGCAGTCTATGAACCCCTGGGACTCTGTTAGGTCAAATCCATTTCTATTATTACACTAAGACTTTCCTTGCCTGTTTCATGGTGTTAACATTTGCACTGATGGTGCGAAAAGTAGTTGTGGATAAAACCGCTGTTACTTCAGCAGTGAGTCAAAACTGACAAAACCTTATTAGCAGACAATGTATCTTCACTTACAAATGTTCTCAGCTAGAAAACAAAAGGAATATATACAATGTTCTAGGTAATCTGAACTACCTGCTGTTTTCCAGTAACATCAGTTTTCTTGGAAGAGTGACAAACCGTGGCTATTCATATGAAGGTTAGCAAGTGTTTCCTAAAAAATGAGTAAGGCAAGCTCCTCACTCACTTCAAAGAAAACAAATGACAAAATTTGTTTCCAATAACATTTAAACTTTCAAGTAAAAATTAGAACTTTGGACAATTAATATCTGCAATTGTAAGTTTCATAGTTTTGCAGTATTGAACTTTTGTGATCAGACTGACTAGTGGTGATATTAATATGACATGTATAGTGAAATATGTGTTAACATTTAGAAGATACAAAATAACTTGTGAACCAGCATTTTCCAAACAGGCAAGGCATGACTGTACAAAATTATATAGGAGTAAAAGATCCCATCAAAGAACAAGACAGACCAATGGATTTTTAATGTAACAAAGTACAAAAAGTTAAGTGACATGGCTTTAGATGTAATTAACCTTTAAAAGTGTCACTTGTTCAGCATTGAAAGGAAACAGCTACAAAAAGGGAGAAATACTACAAATGTAGATGAACTTCATAAACATTAAGCTAAATGAAAGAAGTCAGACACAAAAGACCACAAACTGTATTAGCCCATTTATAGGAGATGTCCAGAAAAGGCAAATCTATAGACAGAAAGTAGATTAGTAGTTGCCTGGGACTGGAGGACTAGAAAATGAAATGACTGCAAATGAGGGATCTTTGGAGGATGATGAAAATGTCCTAAAAGTGGGCTGTGGTGCACAAATCTGTGATTGAACAAAAGAGTAATGAAAACTGTACACCTAAAAAGGATGATTTTTATGGTATGTGCTTACAGCTGTTAAAAAAAAAATGTCACTGTCAAGTTTTACTATAGTATCAAAAGGACACTAAAATAATCTTTTCCAATTACACATATTTAGAGGCCATATTTTCTTCCTATGCTTCAAGCAAAACAAAATTTCTTAAGACTGACTATATAAACTGTTTTCTATTATATTTTTAATGTGGTAAATACTGACAGATACAACCCACACAAACATAAGCTCTTTGGGGTCCTCAAAGTTTTACAGGGCAAAGAGGTGCTGAGACCATTATGTTTGAGAACCACTACTATAAACACAACATTTTAATTTGTGTTTAAGATGTTTTAATATGATCAGATCATCTCTGAATAAAGAAAATCACATCATTTCAACTGAATTAGTCTAGCTCCGTAAAAAAAAGTTCAATTTAAGTGTTCTGCAAAAAATCTGTGTCTAGCTGGTGTCAAGCAGGTACCTGAGATTTCTTTTTAGAAGCTTACCATTTAGGCTGCGAATACACCTTATATCAAGGCTTCTCAGTCGAGAGTCGTCTCTTAGATCTAAATTATCTGATATGGTTTGTATTGCCAGTCTTGCAAAAACTAGATCAATCTTTGAAAAGATGCAAAAAAGGAGAAAATATTACCTTTTCTTCTAATCCATTCTCCCCACCTCCCATCCTCAAAAATGTAAAAAGTTCTAATTACTGCTTTGGGAAATCTACTGAAACTTCAAAAGGTTTATGTAGGCAATTTTATATGGGAAAATCACTGAAGTTTTGTGAAAGTAAAATTTCAAGTTAAGAGAAAGCATTTTAGGGGCACTGAGGGAAAAAAAAAGAAAGCATTTTCACTTGGGGATATCTCCAAGTATTAAAAAAAAAAAAAAGACTATCAAAGCCTCATGAGTGGATTTCTATAAAGACAGCAGATCCAACACACATTTACATTCACTCCTTGAAACCCACTAAAAAACACCAAAAATTTTCTGTTTGGTCTTACTTTGTTTTTAAAGGCATTAACTCACGAGGACAAATAGAAGGAAACTATGGCAAAAACTATGAAAACTGGAAAGGACATGGACAAATGGTAAGAGAACTAACAGATCTAAGAAAGCAGAGGTAAAATGGATGTAGGAAATAAGGACATAAATACATAAAAAGGAACACTTAAAGAGAATAAGCAAGTATTTCTGAAAATTAAATATGTGACAGCAGAAAACAGAAAACAACTGAAAGTTTGGAAAATGAGTAAACAACAAAAATCAAATTAAAATATGAAGATATGGTTAGTAAATAGCAAGATTAAAAAAAGAAAACAGAAGGCAGTTCTGGAGGTTTAACATAAATATTAGTTCAGAAAAATGAGAAAAAACAAACTCTAATAGCATTCAAAATAATTTCGAAGAACTGAAGTACTTCAAACTGAAAGATTACTGAGTATCTAGCCCACTGACTGAAAATACACATACCAAAGAATGCTGAAAACCAAGAAAAAAAATCAGGTAAGTTTCTGAAGAGGTAAGGTTATATCAATGAGGACTGAGAAATCAAAATGGCATCCCACCTATCAATACTGCACTAAAGCTTACAAGACAATGACCTAAGGTCTTCAAAATTCTGAGAAATATTTCTCACCTAGAGTTTTCAGAACTCTAAAACTATCAATTTAATGTAAGAACAAAGACATTTTTAAGCATGCAAGATGTAAAGATACTTGCTTTTTTGAAAAGCTACTGGGTGAGTTCTTCTAAAATTAAGGTAAATCAGAAAGAAGAAAACTCTAGGGAGGAGGAAAAGGAAACCCTAGGATGATAGTGAAGAAATATGTCAAGATAGCTATAATATCAGTTATACGTGTGAACTGAAACAAATGAGAAGATTCAGAGATATTTTTTTCAAGATGATTATGGCAGACTACTTGAGGAATGTAAACCTGTTTAGAGGAGATTTAAAAACCCAGGAGAGACTAGGTCTGAATTGGTACTAAGTATAAAAACCAAGGAAACAAAACACAAAATAATTAATAACTCCCAAGAAAATGAATGGTCACAGCAAAAATAAGGTAATCTGGCATACTTTGTGCTCAGTTTTGAGCATTACTTATAACATCAAAATAATGTAAATACTGGATATTGCTCCAATCAGAATTATAGTAGTATGATGTAATAACTTTAGGATATTATGGAAATAAGGAATGTATAAAAACCATGGCAGGTAGGGATGGAGGTTGGTTTGTTTTCCATGCTGAGAAGTCAATAGAGGGGAAGTAGGGGAAGAGGAGAGACTAAATAAAGGTCACTTGAGTCTTTAAAATGCATGTCTGTGTAAATCTGATTTAAAAAATAAAAAATAAAGAAAACTACCTGGATTAAATAAATAGTTCAATTTAAAGTCAGAAAAATTTTAAACACTTACTTCAATACCATCAAATTCGAATTTTATAACAGGTACAAAAGCATCTTCTACAGCCTACAAAAGAGGAAAATACATGTATAATTCTTTTCTAACTTCCTGTCAACATAGTGAATTGCTTCCAACTTGTATTTTTTAAAGATGTATTTATTTATGCATGAAAGAACTGGGGTGTAGACCATAGGTGAGAGGGGGTGAGAGGATTCACCAAAGAAAAGAATGGGGAGCAGAACATTGCTAAGGGGAATAGTGAGTGAGACAGGAGGTCTCCTGTGCCATATATGGGTTAGCTCCCTGTTGGGGGATCAAGACCAGGCTCTAGTGGTGATAGTGCTGAGACTTAACACCTAGGCAATAAGGGAGGCCCCCAAATTATATTTTAACTCAAGGGAAAAGTGAGAATGTTCTTGGCTCTACATTCTAGAGAAGTAGTTCTACTTTTTGATTGTGTAGTAAAGCTTTCAAAACGATGGCAGTTATGTTAGCTTATTGACCTCCTAAAAATATTCACCAGAAACTGGCAGATAGAAATGCTATCATCCAAGTACTATTTCTTTGTTTTTTTAAGATTTACTTTTATTTATGTATGCATACAAGAACTGGAGTCTAAGCCAGAGGTGCAGAGGGGTGAGAAGATTCACTAGAGATTGAGTGGGGAGCAGAACAGGTGATCTACTGAAATATACTGCTGAGGGGAGCAGCAGGTGAGATAGGAAAGGTCTGCTGCACCATGTGGGTTAACTTTCTGGCCAGGAGTGAACTCATGCTACAGTGGCTGAGTAGCTTGATAGTACTAATACTTTAACTCCTAAGCCATGAGGGAGGCCCCTAAGTACTTACAGTTTCTTGAGCTTAAATTGAATACTGATTTATTTACAAAATGTTAGAAAAACATATACATAGATTCTGACTAACCTATCAAAACATAATACAGTCACTGTAGTTTGGTAGAAATGTCTTTCTGAGCCTTTCTGAATCCCCCAAGCTAACAAAGTCTTAACTTCGCCGTTCCCAAATGTCACAGGTCCTTTCACCTTCACCTTATCCTAGTACTTCAGAATGCACTAAATTTATATGCTTAGTTTTCCCAACCTGTCCCTCCCAGAAAAAAAAGTCATTCTTACTATTATATTTGTGGGACTAAAGCCAGTATCTGACAAATCATTGGTGCTAAAATTTTATTTTTAAAAAGATTTATTTATTTATACATACGAACTGGGTACAGGCCAGAGGCAGTGGTGGGGTGGTGATGAGAGGATTTACCAGAGACTGAGTAGGAAGCAGAACAGGAAGAATGACTGAAACACACTGCTCAGGAGAGGCCTGCCATGCCACGTGGGTCACCCCCCTGGCTGCGGATCGAACTCATGCTGCAGTGGCTGCGAGAGCTTCATAGTGCTGTGCTTTAAAGTTGCGCCACCAGGGAGGGCCCTAAAATTTTATTTAAATGAATGGCTATATACACATTTATAAAGAGTTACTATCAAACTTTATATGTAAAGGTAGGCACCATGTGATATACATTAGCCATTTACCAGACATTACAGTAATAAGTGGTTTCTGTAGATTAGCCCAGCAGTTCTCAAAAAAACAAAAAAAAAAAACTAAAAAATTATCAGCACATTTTTATTTTACAGATGAGTAAACTGAGGCACAAAGAGAATAAATAGATGACCAAACTCTAAGAGCTAATTAGTAGATTCTAAATTCAAACCAAGGTCTGCAAACTATAAAGCCTCTGTTCTTAATCATTACATATTACTTTAACAAGATATAGTAATTTCTAAGAAGTATTTCAATAATCATAGGCCTTAGCTTTTAGAATATATTTGTTAATAAGTTCCAATATATTGAATATCAGAGGGCACTTACTCTTAAGTTTCTAATGCCATCCTGATGTTTCAATTTTTCAAAAAAAGACTGAAAAAAATCAGATCTCTCCACATGTCTTGGAGCTACACAAAGTGCATCAATGTCAGCCCCTGCAAATCAAAGTATTTATCAAGAACAGCATACAATGTATATTGTTAAAATATATACAAGATATGTACAGAACAAAATATGTTGATTAATGGTGAAATACTGGGAATTTTTTCTTCTGTATTTTCTAATTATGAACAAACAGGAATTTGTTATTAAAACTTCTAATAAGAATATAGAAAAGCAATTACCTTTGGTGTGTACTCCAAGTCTGTAAGATCCAAATGTGAAAATTTTACCACCAACAGTAGCCACAACAGAAGGTGGGAGATTCTAAAATAAAATGAAATCGAAGGCCTTTAAATGCTTAAATTATTTAGCATAAAACTCACCTAAATTGAGATTTGTAGAAATACTTTAAAGCTCTTTGGGTTGCAGTATTAAAATGAAATATTCTCACTGGGAATTAAAAACAAATTCATTCCCACTACATATACACACACTTCTATCTCAAGAAAAACATTTTTTTTAATCACTTGACCCTGCTTGCCTCACCCCCACCTCCTACTGCCTACCTGGCTTGTTCACTATCACTGTGCTTTCGGTATATTCTTGATCAAGTCAGGCTCCCCTTTAGTTTCATTAATGGATATACATCATTTCATGATTCTAAGTTTGCAAGTTTCTTTCAAGAAAATTGGGTGATTCTTGATAGGATCTCCTTATAAAAGTTAACCCAACAACTTTTCTTAACATCTTTTTATTGTACAGAATTATAATGCTACTTTTCACCTTTCTACACTCAATTCTAACTTCCCATTAGAATTTTCACTCAAGACGTTCAACGATCCAATTTAATATCCATGCCAGAAAGAAGCAAAAAAATTATTCCTACTATACAACCCCAAGTATTCCTCCTCATTTCTCTTATTTCCGAATTGGGCCAATTCATCCCTACTTAGGTAACCTGGTGATTCCCAACCCCAGGAGGCCACCATATTGATGCTGAACTTAGTGCAGACACCTGATCGGCATAGCTCACCACTGCCCAGAACAAGAATGATGTTAAAATAAAAATAAATACAAGTATTCTAACTTACCTTGTTTTAAGTTTTCATTTAATCATTCTACTGTGTACAAAATTCGTTGTCTAATGTCCTTCAATTTCCTCTATAATTAGTCTGCTCAAAACTAGCCAATGCATATTCTCTCACTACTGAGCTAGGGCCCTTGGGCCTGCTATTTAAAGCGCCACAACAGATTCTTATGGATCTTCCTTGCCTTGTCTCTTAATCTTCCCTTCTAAAGTTTCAACTGCCAACACTGTTAACATCACCTGTCTCTCTTCCATTGCATTTGACACTGTCCCTGCCTGGAATGCTTGACCATCCTTTCTAGGTAGCTCAGTATCATCTATTTCTCAAAGTTTACTTCAAGTTCTATCTTTTTCATGAAGTCTCTGATTATATCGCCTTCTGTGACATTCCCCATCTGCCAACCTGGCTCTACTATCATCTTCAACCTCTTTTAAACTACATTTATTGACCCTTATCCCCCTTATAAGTCTTATCTCTTCAAATATAAATTCCTTTAAGGTGAAAACTGTGTCCATCACTTCTACTATTTCCCATATCTGGTACAAGTTATAAGGAAGAGTATCTTCTTGACTAAACGTATCTGTAAGATGAGATATCATGTTTGTATTTCCTCTCTTTATTTTATTATTTTAAAAAAATATTTATTTTGTAGAAGAACTGGAAAGTAGTCCAAAGGTGCAGAGGGTGAGAGAATTCACCAAGGACAGAAGGGGGATCAGGATAAGTGGATTTACTAAAATACACTGCTGAGGAGAGCAGGTGGTGACACAGGAGACGTCTGCTGTACCATGTGCACAGTGGAATATATGCACCTAAGTAGTCTAGAACCTCAAATCAAATAATTTTACTTAAATTCTATCATTTTCTGTTGAAATTATTTTACTCTGATTCAGTCTATCACTTTCTCATAAATCATGGAAGAATCATGTGTTTTCAGTGACAAAGGCAAACTAAAAATGTTCTTAGCCCAAAGGTCCTGACTTCCCTGGAAGTCAGGTTAGCTCCCTAGCCAGAGATCAAACTCAGGCCAAGGCAATGACAGTGTGGGGACTTACCCCCTAGGCTACCAGGGAGGCCCTACTTTCTCTGTTTAATAGATAATCCCCTACCTGTAATATAAAACACTCAACTTAAATTTAAGGACAGTTTTAGGAGAGAATCCCTCATGAACTTATATACAGAGTCCAGTGTTTAAAAGAACAGATTCTAAATATGTACCATGGATACAGAAAGAAATAAGCTGTAAAAAAAGGCATTTTAGGCCCTCCCTGGTGGTGCAGTGGGTTAAAGCACCACAGTGAGAGGCTAGAACCACTTCAGCATGAGCATGCCCCAGAGGTGATCTACATGGCACAGCAGACATCTCCTGACCTGCCCGCTGCTCTCCTCAGCAATGTATTTTGTCAGTCTACCTGTTCTGCTTCCCACTCTGTCTCTGGTGAGTCCTCTCACCACCCCTGCACCTCTCTATGCATAAATAAATAAATCTTTAAAAAAAAAAAAAAGCACTTTAACAGGTATTTAATCTCTGAACCCATGTATATGTTAAGGGGATAGAACGGGAATTTAAATTAAATAACTTTCAGCTGACAGCTATTAAGAACAAAAACCATAAAAAAAAAAACCCAAAATACAACAGTTTGGGCCACTTCATGACAGAGCAAACAAGGCACTCAGTTGAGCATGTCCTAGCTCCTTTTAGTATAACTTGTAGTGATGACTTTCAAACAAATGAAAATCAACTCATTCAAGTGCTACTAATACATAGTACATTATATATACAATATATATACTCAGAATACTTTAAGAAAGCAAGAAAAATATAATCATTTATAAAGGAAAAGTGATGATGTTACCAGAGAGGAAGAAAGTGGTATAGTTTAGACTAGGACATGCAAATGCCTATGTCTCAGGGGCCAGGTGGGTACAAAAAATGAGGGAAATAGCACATAAAAGACAGACAGAAACTGACTGATAAATGACAGCTGTGTCAGAGAGAAGGCAGATGCCCAATTCATTCAAGCTTCTTCGTGCTTGGCACAAGTGTTACCAGACCTGCTATTTCACTGTAAGTCTCAAATTTGGCCTTTTAAGTAAAATCTCTTGATACTGAAAGTTTGGTTCATTATACATGAGTTACCCAAGACTTCATGGAAACTGTCAACTGACAATGGTTATCTCTGGGATAAATTCTCATTTAGAATCATCTCAGCAGTTGAGAAAACTCATTACCAAATATACCCAAGATACAAGTTTTAATGTATTTCATGTTATTCTTAACTCTTACTTCTTGTTACTATTAGATTCTAATAATTGAGACATAATGAAAATATGAATTCAATGTAGTGTCTCACCTTACTCTCACTGACATCAGATATCCATTCTTTTACTAAATTGTTCAATTTTCCAAGAACGACAAGCCTATAATAAAAAATAACATGCCTTAGGTGACAAGAAAAACAAACGAAACCACATAATTAAACACATTAAGTTGTACCTTTCAGCTGGTGCTAGAGTAAAAAGCATGTTACAAACATGTGAAAGCTATCACCTCTGTTGATATATGGCACATATCTTTGGCATTCTTAGCTCCCTAAGAGTTCCAGAGAGGTGATAAATGTAGAGATAACATCTCTATAATATCTCTGAGTTATCTTCAAAATTCAAAATGTCTAATAAAAAAATCAAATTACCTTCAATAAGGCTGCAGAGGCCAGCTGACTTGTCAATTTTATTGGCCTTACTATAGAATAAAGTCAACTCAATGTGATAATAATAATAGAGGTTAGCATTCTTTCACTAACAGTCATGGGTCTTTGATTAATTAAAGTGGGTAAATTAGCTACTGGCTAATGTTTATGAAATACTATTACTTAATAAAAGCAATTTGGCATAAAAACAAACCAACTAATGGCATGCCCAGATCATCCTCATTTTAAGAAAATAGTTTATAGGCTTCTCAAAGATACCACATGCAAAACAGAATTCCTGATCTGTTCAAACTTGTGTCTCCTTAGCCTTCCCAGATAATGGAATTCCATATTGAAGGTGTTAAGACCAAAAAACCTTGGCTTTATCCCTCTCCCTCTTACATTCCATTCATTAAACAATACAACCAGAATTCTACTAGTTCCTATCACCTCCACTTCCATCTCCCTAGTTCCAATCAGCATGATTTCCTTCCTGAATTATATAATAATCTCCTTATAGGTCTACTCACGTCTGCCTTTTACCCCCTTCCAAGTATTATTAATATACAGCCAGAATGACTGTGCTAAAACATGAGTAGATCATTCAATCTCCTGTTCAAAACCCTCAGAGTAAAAACCAAAACCTTTATAAAAGCCAGTAAGATCCTGAGTGACTTTGCTCCCCAAGTTCCTTCCTACCTCATTTTTAAAAAATGTTTATTTAGTTATGCATACAACAGCTGGGGTGTAGGCCAGAAGTGTGGAGATGGTGAGAGGATTCACCAGAGAGAGTGGGGAGAAGACCAGGCGGAGAGACTGAAATACACCGCTGAGGGGAGCAGTGGGTGAAAACAGGAGAGGTCTGCAGCACCAAGTGGGTCATCTCCCTCACCAGATCAAACTAATGCTGCAGTGGCTGTGGACTGCTTCAACAGAGCTGTGCTTACCAACCCCTGCGCTAAGTCCATATTCCTCTGCTTACTCATTTTGCTTCAGACACCCAGGCTACCTTGCTATGAATATATTCTTTAAATATAACAGATATATTCCCATTTCAGGCCTAATACCTAGAATACCTTTCTACTGAGCTCTATCACCTTTCAACTTTCCCTTAAAATGTCACTATCTCAATGAGCCTCCTTCCTTAACTTCTACTTGCAGTTTATTTTTCTCACTATTTGTCATTGTATTTATTTTACTTTGAAGATCTGTTAGTCTCCTCTCCTAAACTTTACCTAAAAGCAAAATTCTCCAATGGCAAGTTTTCTTTTTGTCATTTTTGTATCCCTGGGCAGGGACACTGAAGGTATTCAATATATCTGTAGAATTAATGTTTAAATAATGTTCTATAAATGACATACCTGTGGTTCAATTCTTCCTCATCTTCAAATACTCCAAATGGTTTCATGGCATCAATTAATTTTTGTGTGTAAATATGATCAATTTCTTTAGGACATGCCAAGCTAATTGGAGAGGTGATTCCATAATGCTTTTGTTGACGCTGGCTGTCCAGCACGGTGTTTCTATTTTAAAAAATGAAACAAAAAAAATTTTAAGTATGTCACAATGATATACAAAATCTATTTATTCATATTAATTTAGCTAACTTAAAGGTTTACTTAGAACTAATAGTCTGGGCAGGAACCTTTTTTAAGGAAGAAAGAGTATTTTGTGTTTATTTTGATGAAGAACTATTCATACTGCCTCCAGTTTTGATGGTTAGCATGTCTTTTCAAGCCAAAAGCAGCATGTGCTGGCATCGGGACAACTATGCCAATACCACTCAACTCAAATGCAAAGCCTGAGTGGGAGCATGGCCAAAGCCACCTCCACTACATCCTGCAGACTTAAGTCAAGTACCATCCAGATTCAAATCTTTAAAAATCAGTCAGTCACTTGAAAGAAAGCATTAAGTAAAAAAAAAAAAAAAAAGAACACAAAAAAAAAAACCCAAAAAAACCCGATTCCACGTCCCCCCCACAAGAAACAAAAAACATCCCACTAAAAGGTCCTTGTGGAGTATTCCATTATAAAAAATGAAATCGCAACTAGATTTGTCCTTCAGAAACCTACATTAAAGTCAGTTTATGACCCTAGTATTTTATGATGTTATTTTCATTTAAACTGGCAACCTAGATCATTTTCATACTGAAAAATTATCATTTGTTTATACAAAGAGACAACCTTTCATAGGTTGCAGTATAAAAGATCCTCCAAAGATCTTAGTCTTTAGTCTTACAAGACCTAAATAACGCAAGGCAGAATTCCGAGTTTGGACTTATATAGACCAATAAATTCAGAACATAAAAATCTGGGACCAATATGAATTGGTAAAACTCATTTTGCTAAGAAAGGAAAATAACACACATACAATAACCAACTAACCCTACCTTCACCACCCATTCTGTAAAATCAAACACCAACAGTAAGAAATGTTTTCTCAAGTTAGTCCTACAAACATCCACACACAAAAATATTGTAATATTATTAAACTTTAACCAGTCAAATCATTAGTTTATTACTACTAAATTCATAAAGTAAGGCATCCTCTTTAAAGATATGGTTAGGCAGAGAGGCAGAATCAAAGAGAATATAAAACAGCCCATGTACAAGCTTCCAAAATAACTTAATGACCCAAAGAAACAAGAGAAATATCAATATTGTGACTTCAATTTCTTTCCTTATTTCTTTTTTCTGTAAAATAAAAAATTTTAATTATTTCAAGTTGTAACTTTTTAAAGGATTTATATATTTATTTTGCTGCAAAGAGGAATTAGGTGCTTTGGTGATGTTTGTGCGGTTATATCTGTATGGCACAAAGTGATTATATATGAACACTGAATAGTCAAGAAAATAAGTAAGTACCATTTTATAATTAAGTCTCCAAGACTCAAAAAGAAAAAGAAGAAATCTGAATGCGAAACCCAAGATTTTCCCACTAAACCATTCCCCTGCTATCACTCTTCAGTTCTTACACTATGATCTCCCTTCAGTCCTTTCTTTGTGCATGCTGAAAAAGGTCCCCACTACTACTAAAATTCCTTATGTATGGTTCTGACCTCCCTCACCTCACAAGGGGTGGGGGACCAACAAGGGAAAGCAAACAGAAGCCCAACTTCCCTTCAGTCCATCAATTTCACTTATAGTAAACACCTCTGAGATATCCTAATTCAAGTGCACAAGGGGAAATGTATAAGAGAGATTACTGTCACAGTAACCTAGAAAACTCTGTAACAACCTAAAATAGTCACTAACAGGAAATGGCCTAAATTGGGGTGTATCCCTACAATGGAATACAATAATGGTTACTAATTTGAATTAAACCTGAAAATATTAACAGACAAAATCTCAAAGTTACTATGTTGTATTAAAGAAGGGAGCTGCGGGATAACACGCATGACACTTATAAATTTGAAAAACAAGTAAAACAATGTCAGTTATGAACGCAAACATGTAGTAGGAACAGGGATAACGCGCATGACACTAATTATATAAATTTAAAAACAAGTATAACAATGTCAGTTATGAACACAAACATATAGTAGGATCAGGGATAACACGCATGACACTAACTATATAAATTTAAAAACAAGTAAAACAATGTCAGTTATGAACACAAACATATGTAATAGTAACATTTAAAAAATGCAGCAACAACAAACCTCTAATTCAGGACGGTGAGGAACTCTGGGAAGGGAGGAGAATGGAACCAGAGGAGGTGGGAGACTCTCACATGTATTTGGCATGCTTGATTTCCTTTAAATATATACACATAACCACACTCATACACAGAATGCTATGCTCTGGAAGCAGTGGAGGGTGGCTACACAAATGATGCTTACGTTAGTCTCTGCATTTTCTTTCTGTATGTCTAAATTATTTCCTAATAGCCCCAAAGGTAAAAAGGTACAACAAAACCTTGCCATGCACGGAGACGGTTTCTGACTTATCAAAGTGTGAGCAGGAGGTTTAGTCCAGTTGATATATATATAGTAGGTAGGTGGGAGGCCCAGGGTGGGGGTGGGGGACGAAAATACCAGTCTTTATTCCAGAGAAGCCCAGGACCGGATAGGTCATTCAATTCTGAAGACCTGGAGACAGCCGGTCGGAAGGGAGGAGGGGAGCTATAGGGGGATGGTATTTGCGCCAATGCAGACAGGAGCCGAGACCGGCTCAGACAGTGCTGGCGGCAGGAAAGTGACTGACAATTTCTCCCCATGGACACACGCGCCTCTCCTCCTCCACACCCTTGTCTGCCGGCGTCCTCCGAGGCGGAATAACTGTGAGGAGAGAAGGGCTCCAGGAGTACGCGCGTTTGTGCAGGGTATCTAGGTGAACCGCCGGGCGCAGGGGAGGTACCCTTGCCCACCGACCAGGAGCGGGAAAAGCGACCATCCGGGCGAACTCCGGGCTGGGAACCGAAGCCAGGTCCGGGCCCACCACCACCCCAGCCCACCACTCTCGGCTTCGCCCTCAACAGCCGCCCCCCAACACTTACGCAGACATCTCTTTCATCGCTTCCTGCGTCTCTCTCTCCGGCGAGTGTCTCTCGCTGTGGAGTCCTGTTCTTGCTCTTCCCTTCTCTCCGTGTCCACTTTCCTCCAGTCGTTTGTAGCTCTCTTGCTCGCTCACTTCTCACTTCCTACGGCCGAGGCATCCAACCGAATAGTGGAAACACTACAAAACCGGCTCTATTTATGACAATACAGTGCGGCCGACGCCAATATGGCGCCGCTACCCAGCCTGCCCCTCGCTCGCCGTGGCTCCGCCCCCGAGGGCCTGGGCCCGCCCTCGACCCCCCACCGACGCCTTTGGGCCGGAGAGGCGTCCGCGTGGCCCCGCCCACAGGAGCGCTCCTCTCGCTGCTGGCACTGGTTGGACCGTGCGTTTGCTTTTCTTTGTCCCTAAACCCGGCAGACCCTTTGGAAGGTAATTTGAAATGTCTCTCTTGTTTCCCTAATCATACCTGTATCATATCTATTAAAAAAATCCCAGTTTAGCCTGGCAAAAAGTATATCGATTCTTCCATCGTCCCACATCTTTAGTCATAGTCAAAGGAAAACGGATCAATTCACTTCTTGGGGAAATTGTCGTGAGAGGGTCACACCCAGGACCGTTATGATTTACAGTTTTCCAGGCGAAAGCAAGCTTGTAAATTGGTGGCTAACTGTTCACTCATCTCTTAAACATCAGCCACTGATTCAGGATGTTCTGGCAGTTGAGAGAAAGATGGAGAAGGGATCGCTAGCAGTTTGCAAAAGCGTAGTTCAAAGTTGAATGAAAAGCCCAAGCTTTCAAATTGCAGATCCTGAGTGAGACAGAAAATGAGAAAATAATGACGAATTTAAAAATGTTAAAGGATAGGAGTAATTTCAAATACAAAATCATTACAAGGAAAAAAGCATCAGAAACTGATTTTTCTTGGATGTAACTGAGAGTCACAGTAAATAGGGGAGATTCATCCTCGTTAATAATTCATTATAGAATTATTCATTCATGCATTTAAAAGATATTTATTGAAAAACTAATCTGAGTCATGCACTTTATTAGCCTCACAAACTAGATGTAGCTTTTTTTTTAAAGTGTTTCTGCATTTTCTTTTAACATTTATTTATTTATGCATAAAGGAAGAGGTGTAGGCCAGAGGAGCAGGGGGAAAGCAGTGGTGAGAGGATTCATCAGAGACACAGTGGAGAGCAAGAAAAACTGGTGGGTTTACTGAAGTACACTGCTAAGGGAAGCAGTGGACTAGGCAAGACAGGTCTTAGTGCCAATGTGGGTTCACTCCCTGGCCAGGGATGGAACTCAAAACTCAGGTAGTTGTAGTAATAGTGCTGAGACTTAACCCCTAGGCCACTAGGGAGACCCAAACCATGTATAGTGTTTAATCCTATGAAGTTCAGAGCTTAGTAAGGAAACGATATTAATGATAATCTTCTGTTGTAGAACTATCACACCCTGGAGATTTTTAATTCTTGCCCTCAAGAATTCACAATTTAGTGGAGGACAAAAAACATACATAAAAATTGTTTAAAAATACTGTATGGTTTGTCAGCCCGAATGCCCAAAAGTGCATGACTGGATTAAAAAAATGTGGTACATATACACAATGGAATATTACTCAGCAACCAAAAAAATAAATAAAACACATGTCTTTTGCAGCAACATGGATGGAGCTGGAGAAGATTGTGCTTAGTGAAATAAGCCAGAATGAAAAGGAAAAATAACGGATGGTTTCACTCATAGCAGGGGTATAACGGACCAGGCGAGAAAATAATAATAATGAACAGCTATATACCAGAGACATTTTATGGGGGTGGAGCGGGAATGGGATCGGAAACAGTGGGGGGAGGGAAATGCACTGGACTATGGTGATAGCACATGGGTGATTTGGTGATGGGAAGCCCAAGGGGATTGCAACTGAGATGGAAAAATGCACAAAATGATGTAAAAATAAACTATTTAAAAAAATACATATATATAGAGAGAGACTTCAGTAATTAAAACAATGATATTTTTGGAGAAAGAGACAGCTAGATAAATAGAATAAAAAAGACAAAACAGACCCATGATTTACTTATAGGTATATGTAATGTAATGATAAGATGGTAACTAAAAAACATACTGTATGGTTTGTAATACAGAGGGGGTCAGGGTAGGGCTAAAGAGGGGGTTAGGGAGGGCTAAAGAGAGCCACCTAAAATTGGAGGAATACTCAGTCTATACTCAATAGTCTTATAGGAGGGGATGCTGCCTTAATTAGCAAGATTTTTGAGTAGTGATTGGGTGCAGGTGGTAGGTGGAAGGCAAACCCTTATTCCAGGTGGCATAGAGAGCAGCCTGGGCTTCTAGTTTTGCTACTTACTAGCCCTATGACCTCCAGAAAAGTCACCTCCCTCAACTGTAAAATGAAGATAGGAGGGTTGTATGGGAATTAAGTGAGAAGCATATGTATAGCAACTATGAATCTCAGTCCAAAAATTTCATACATAAATGAAATAATGCTTTATTTGTAAAATCTGACTTTTGAGTGTAAGCCAGTCTTCTGAGCTGGCAAAGACAAACTTTGTCATTCATGAGATAATGCCCAGCATTAGGGGAGGTAGGATAGATAGTTCAGGGAAATGCAAAGTTATTAAAGACAGCTTTACATTTCTGCTTACTAATTGTCAAAAGCAATATCATAACAATTCTTTTAAATCTCCTTTATTTTATTTGTAGTTTGACTCCATTTTAATTCCTCTTCTTTCCACTTTCTTTCTTAACCTACCTGGGCTGGAAGTTCCACCTCCTTTTCAGTGTGAACTTTTTCAAGGAAGCATAAATGTTGGGGAGGAGGATAGGGTGTCTATAGTGTAGCTGTATTTTTAAAAGTAAAACATTTTGATTTACAAATATAACTTGTATTTTTTTTTAAGATTTATTTATTTATTCATAGAGAACTGGGGTGCAGGCCAGAGATGCGGAGGGTGAGAGGATTCACCAGAGACAGAGAGGGGAGCAGAACAGGCAGATAGAAGAAGCACACCACTGAGGGGAGCAGCGGGCGGGTCAGGGGAGGTCTGCCATGCCATGTTTATCTCCTCCAGGGCAGGCAGGGATTGAACTCATGCGGAAGTGGCTTAAGCTTCTTAGTACTGTGCTTTAACCTGCTGCGCCACCTGGGAGGGGCTCTTTACATTTTTTTTAACTTCAAAGTCATGTTTATCTTTCCATGTCAATAAATACTTTGCACTGAATTGTGCCCTCCAAGATTTCGTACATTGAAGCCCTAATTCCTAGTACCTCAGAATGTGACTCTAATTGGAAATAAGAACATTAGTGTAATAGTTAAGCTTAAATGAGATCATTATTTTGGGTCCAATTTTAATATGACTGGTGTCCATATAAGAAGAGGACATTTGGGCACAGATGGGTACAGAGAAGATTATGAGAAGGTATATGGAAAAGATGACTGTACAAGCCATGGAGACCTCAGAAGCTATTTTGTGTGGGCCTCTATCTCAGACCTCCGGATTGTGAGAAAATTAATTTCTGTTGTTTAAGTCACCCACCCAATCTGTGGTATAGTACTTCTTTTTTTTTTTTTTTAAAGATTTATTTATTTATTTGTACAGAACTGGGGTACAGGCCAGAGATGCGGAGGGTGAGAGGATTCACCAGAGACAGAGGGGAAGCAGAACAGGCAGATCCGACGAGGTACACTGCTGAGGGGAGCAGCGGGCGGGACAGGAGAGGTCTGCCTTGCCATGTGGTCACCTCCAGGGCAGGCGGGGATCGAACTCATGCAGAGGTGGCTTTAGTTTCTCAGTGCAGTGCTTTAACCCGCTGCGCCACCTGGGAGGGCCGGTATAGTATTTCTTTATGGCAGCCCTAGCAAAACAATGCAGTAAATGTATACCTACTTTGTCCAGTTAAACAGTAATGTGGTGATCTTTTGCATAAATAATATATTGTTAAATACATTGATCCTTTTTCCTATTATGTGTGTTTACATTATAAATAATGCTATAATAAACACCCTAATATGTGCATTCCTTAACTTGTGATTCTTAATGATGGAATCACCACATCAAAGAGCATGTGTATTTTTTTTTTTTTTAAGATTTATTTATTTATTCATAGAGAACTGGGGTGCAGGCCAGAGATGCGGAGGGTGAGAGGATTCACCAGAGACAGAATAGGGAGCAGAACAGGCAGATCTAGGAAGTACACTGCTGAGGGGAGCAGTGGGCTGGTCAGGAGAGGTCTGTTGTACCATGTGAATCATCTCCCAGGCAGTCAGGGATCGAACTCATGCGGAAGTGGCTTTTGATTCTTGGTGCTGCATTTTAACCTGCTGCGCCACCACGGAGGGCCCGCATGTGTATTTTAAAATAAAATGTATTGTATTTCAAATTGTACTCTGAGAAGTTTATACTACTTACATGCCAATTGCCATTGAACAATGTGTGGGATGGTCAGTTCCTCAAACCTTCACAAATGCTAGATTTTAAAAATATTTTATACTTATCACAATTATAAATGTATAGTAAAGTAGAATAGGGTAATAAACACCAAATATCTTTCACCTAGATTTAAAGATTATTTATGCATTTTTTCATGAGTCACACCCATTGTTGATATGACATTTCACTTCTAAATATTTCAATATGCATAGCTAAGTAAAGATAGTTTTCTGCATAACCACAATAATACTAACATCTAAGTTTTCTGCACCTGTCCTCAAAATGTCTTTTGCATCAATTTTGTTCATATTAAGATCCAAGCAAGGGCCTTCCTGGTGTTACAAGGGGTTAAGTCTCAGCCTATGAATCTCTTTGCAGCAGGTTCAATCCCCAGCCAGAGAGGTGACCCACATGGCACAGCAGACCTCTTGATCTTGTCCGTTGTTCTCCTTAGCAGTGTACTTCAGTCTGCCTGTTCTGTTCCCCATTCTGTCTCTGGTTAATCCTCTCACTCCCCTCACCTGTACCCAGCTCTTGTGTACATAAAAAATAAACTATATCTTTTAAAAAGAAAGACCCAAGCAAGAATAACACTTGGTTGTTGCATGTCTGGAGCATACCTTACTCTAGAATAGACATCTCTCCTGTCACTTCTTAGCTCTAGCTTCTTCCCACCACTGATAGCTCTCTTCTCCCAGTTCTTTATATTTCCTATGACATTGACTTGGTGAGACCAAGCCAGCTGTCCTCTAGAATGTTC